TATTTACTTTCCTCCAAACGAATCCTTATCGACTGAGGTCAACAAATTTGCATTTTTAGCATGATATTCCCTCAAGTGTGACCAAAAAGTTTGAAGCGGCGCTTAAGAATACTGACATGCTGTCCTTAAATGCAAATAACGGAGGCCATTTTGTAGGGGCTTCGACACAAGAAAAATCACCTATCAAATGTCAGATGACAGATCACAGGTAAGTGGAAGATGCACTTATCTGTGATCAATAATTCCCATACGTGTCCGATGAAAATCAGGAAAATAGTCACCTGGTAGTCAATGTTGAATTTGGTACTTAGATATTCTATTGGAGTTTGTTCACCATTGAGAACCTCGTTTGCATGCTGATCAAACCATCCTATCTTCACTTGCCGATGTTTCGTAAGCTCTCCTTCCGTCTGCAATCCAAAGTACGGTTCAGAAATAAAAACCAAGATTAAGTTAATTAACGAACGGGTTGTATTTTTCCAACCAAAAGCTTCAACAAAGTTGATTTTCCAACTCCATTAGCTCCAACAATGGCGATACGAGTATCCATGTCTACACCAAAGTCTAGATCTTTGAAGAGAATGTTATTCCCATATCCGAAAGTCACATCTGAAACGAACGCAAAATATGTCAATGCTTATGTTCTGTGCTGAACAAATTACCCACTATGCAGTCCAAGAATTGGTGGCGCTAGTTTATCAGTATCGGGGAACGAAAACTTTACATGATATTCCTTGATTCGATGCATAAGCTCAGGAGGTGGGGCATCTCCTGTAATGATACTCGTGTAAGAATACTACGAAATAAATAATTTCCAAGGAGAGTTGACAGAGCTTAACCTCTACGTTACAAAAAATAAAATCAAGCTTCTTCTCATGCTTTAAGTTATTACAACTATTCTGTACCAGTCCCAATAAAGCTTTTACCGTAGAATTCGTAACGATGAGTCACTTAAAATCATTTTGACAATTTGATCCTAGCTCAAGGAGCAATGCTCAAATAAAATTGGTTTTCATTCATAATATTATAGCTTCCAGAGAGGTACATGAGTATCACTGTGCTCAAAGATGTACAGTTTTCTCTACGCTATCTCCATATTCAAACAAAAAATTGGAAAATTGAGCTAACCTTCATCTCCCATCGAGGCCGATCCTTTTTTGCCTTTGGTCTGCTTATTCTGTTTATTCTGCATATTTTTCTTCAACTCTTCTTCTGCTTGTTTCGCGCTTTTGCCTCCTTTCTTCAAAGCCTGCATTTGCTTCTGTTGACTCTCATATGCTTTCACGTACTCCTTCATTTTTTGATTGTACATTTTTTTGAAAAGACCTAAATATTGCATTGGAAATAATCTCTTTAACTTTACTTACTGCAAATTCGGCTCTTACTGTAATTTCCTTTATAATAATGTAGCTTTTGATCCTGAAGATGGATTATGTCAGTGCATACGTTGTCCAAGAAACCTTGATCGTGGGAAACAATAAGAAGTGATTTCTTCCATGACTGCAGATAGCTGAAATTTGAATAATTTGGTACGGAAAATATGGAGCTTC